GACGACAAGCGGATGCGGGCAATGAGGCTCACGGATTGGTAGGTGCCAATTCGCCCTTTAGTCCAGGGGAAAAAGCAAAGGAAGTTGTCGAGAACAGCCAAAAGACGGAGAACTGGGGGCATGCATGCACCAGTACTCTCCTCTGCAGTGAGAGAGTTCCAGCCTCCAGGCGTCAACTTTGGGGGCCTGCAACTTAGCGCAAAAGATACCAGCCCCCCCCCCCCTTTACGGATCTGGCTACTTCACGCACTCCGCTGCACTGAGGTAATCTCAGTATGCCTTTGATGTCAGATTCTTACGACTCGGCGACGGCCCGGGTGCTTCTTCACTCAGTTCCTACTACGGTACAGTTGATATCGTCGGATCAGTCGAGGTAGTTTCAAGAGAGGTAGGGTGAGAACACCTTTGCCATTTTCACTAATGATTGTTTTATTCCTGGAAGGATTACTAACCAATCACTATTGGTAGGGCGAGACAGCAGGAAAAGGGCTCATTCTCGCTCTTCCTGACACCTCTCCAACTGACTGCGACGGTATCAACTATGTGAGTGCCAAGATCTGATAACCAAATAAAAAAGAAACAAAAACCATACCTTCAGTTTGTGTAGAGCTATCAACAAGACCCGGTGATGGTTTGGTGACGGCTGGTACATGAACCGAAGCAGTTCGCGTTATCCCAGCACCAGTCGCAGCACCTGCCAGACTCGAAGACTTTGTGGAACTCCTGAACAAATCATTATGTATGAGATGTGCGAATGACAAGTGGCCACTGCTCCTCAGAGTGCACATTCCTTGCCTATGTATGGAAGGAGCCAGGCCTACTACTATTTTTTCGTAGTCGGCATAGTCCTTATTTCTAGAGGGGAGACCGTAGAAGGGGTGCAGATGAAAAGGGCATGGTAGACTGGCTCCACAACACGAGGCGATCAGAGGATAATGACCAATCACGATCTGGGGAGAGCCTCTGAGGCTCTGCCTTCTTTTTAATGACTAACCTCACTGAACCAGACGACTAAACACCGGCGTGGCCTCATCTGAACCAGACTGCACTGACGCCCTTGTTGTTTTAACCTGGACAGACTGTTGCTATCCGAAAGCTCCTTGAGTAATTTACGCCGAAAGTGGACATCATGAAACCAGGACGTGATGGCACGGCGTCGCACAAGGTGATCGAAGAAGGCGTCGGAGGTCCGAGCCTGCCGCGCTGGCGCGCTCATATTTACCGCATTTCCTCTTTGCATTTTGCAGTTACGCAGAGTAGCAAGCTCACTGTGCATTTCCTGCATCAAACCAATTGAATATGGCTGCGGAGGGCCGCGCCGCAGCACGCGCCGCGCGACGCAACTCGAATCTCCCAACCCGAATCCGATGATGTCAGACTTACCGTATCAACTTGGTGGTTGTATAAGAAGCTCGTACATTTTTCTCCGGGTGTAGTATAATAATATAGAGTTTGGGAAAGAACAACAATAACAGAGGTATTGAAGCGGAGAGTGAGAACGAGAAACTCATCGTCAGCGCCTTGTTCACTGTGCCCATATGCAGTACGACGAACGCTATCCAGACGACAAGGGTACAATACCTGGAAATCAGAAATTGTACGTATATTGTTCTGGTGAGGGGAACTCAATCCGGGAAGGTGGCAGACGGCAGCGAGACTACGCTACGCCATGTCTGCTCGTCTGCGTTCTCCCACCGAGATAGTGTTCTAGACCGTCTTGAAATGTCCCTCGGGCATAATTTGTATAAGAAAATGATTGAGACCACGAATGCTGCCCATATACCCAAGATACGACACGAGAGTGACTTTGAGGCAAGATATAACATGGCATAGACGCGAGCCCACGTGCCCCCCCCCTGCGTCAATAGGTCACAAACTGCACGTACCCTAGTTTACCCTTCTCTTCTATTGCTTTGAGATTTGCCTGAAATACTAGCTCTACCCCTACCATTTCTTCTCAAGCAAACGTTTTTGAATGCACGCCTTTCAACGACTGCAAGATGATCAACCGCGTCGCGACCGCACGCGTCTGAAGTCGGTCGCACAAAATATCAAAATGCACTGTAAAACTTACATAGTAAATCCTATAAATTTTGCCTCGTTGAAGTTTTCAGGTAGATTTCGAGTTTTTACAGCATATAATGTACATAATGAGATCAGTAGGAGATTCCACATGAAAGGCGTAAGAAATGATCCTGACGATGTCGTGCATACGAGAACCAGACTGAAACATGGCATCCGCTATCACTGAATAGATTCGAATCACCGATGAAAGTATTAGTTACAGCTAGTCAGGGCCGGCGTCGTAACCTATGCTGGTCTGTCTTTAGCCCGAAATTTACTCAGG